CGCCATATCAATTCTACGTAACTTTTCGCGTAGAATCCAAATCTGAAGTCAAAACATACCCTTGCCTTTCGAAATTTTCGACTCATGGCCCTCCAAAGCCCCAAAATTTTTGGGGGATCGTGGCCCCCAAAATTTTGGAGCAACAGGGGTCATGTGGCACATCAATAAAAAGATATTGACCTCTCCTCTCAGGAGATTATTAGATTTTGAAATTTGGATGATTTGGCCGCTTACAGCGTCGAATTGAAAATTGCCCCCAAAATGCCCCATAACTTCAAAAAATGAGGGTTTAGGGAAAAAGTGCAAAGAACAAAATGTTCTTATTTTCTACCGTAGATTCCGAATCCAAAGTCAAAACATACCTTTCCTATTTGAAAATTGCGAGAAACGGGGGGGGGGCTCCCCCCCAAAACCCCCCCAAGGGACCATTTTGGGGGGCTGAAAATATTTTCATTCGATTCTTTGGGGTCGATTTACCGTATGAAAGATTTGGTCCCGAAGCTCAATTCTCCGCCGTTTTCGAGAAAAAGATAGTGGACGGGTGGTCTGGATCACCCTGTATGTAATGTCCTGGATTCGTCACATGGTGACACGTCACAAACCGAAACAAATACACGAAAAAGACTAAGAAACTAAAACTGAAAATCTAGCAGAAGCGAACTGAAACATAAGAAAATAAAGGGAAAAACGACAGTTGCTTCATTACCTAACAACAACGTTACTAAACAACACCTGATGATGGAGGATTACTCCGAAAAGTCCATCATGAAAATAATTTGAAGTAAACCCACTACCAAGTGGCGAGTGGTGATCGAAGGTGAGCTACCACATCTGTATTCTCAATTATATTCGAATAGAATCCAAACAATATCAACGGCCAGACCTTTTTCAATGCCTACAATGAGAATAATGTATGGACGTTTATCGCTTTTTTGGGGCATAACACTGATGGCGTCCATGAAACGGCTCCCTAATAATAAAATTTATGCTGTTCTCGTCAACTGTGTTATCTCTAAGTAAGTGTTATTTTCAGCCTCAGAGAGATAGCTCTGCCTGTGTCATCCCTTGGTTTTCTTTCCTAATTTTTCTTTTTTACCATATATGCCTGTCATTCACAAAAAGTTTATTTCTGCATTATTCTTTCCAGAAATCATCAAAACACAAGCATAGTATTTCACCAAGTCTTGGTGTTAGAACAAATTTTGATTTGAACTTCTTGTCACACGTCAACGTTTGACAATGCAAGGAAGCAATTTCTGGCACTGTGGATGTCACCAAACTGTTGAAGCCAACCAGACACAACAGCAAGCTGCATTTAATCCAGTAAAGTTGCCTTCCTCATTTTTACATCGAAACTAAATGTAAGTATGAAGATGGCACACTTCTTGAGGTAACCTACTTAATTGGGATTGACTCTTACTATAATTATATAAGGGGACGTAAGATATGTAGGCTAAACTTCATTTACAAAACTTTAAATGCGTTTTTCTCACAACGCGGTTTCCAGTTATAGGCTGTTATTCTTGCAGGGTCCTCAATTATAGATTGTTTAATTCTCTTATCTAATTAGATACATGAAGTTCTTTATAATTAATTTATTTTCTGATTTGAGGTTTATGAGATGGACTACAAATAATTGATTAATGACTTACATTTGTTCAACTTAAACTTCCTCTTGAAGTCTTCAATGGGTCTCCAGACAAGATATGAATGAAAACATTGTACACAAATTTTGCTCTTTTAAATTTCGCAAGGAAAACGAATTATACAATAGGAAGTCTGGAAATCAACTCCTGTACCAGATGTAAGTGTTCGCAATGAACTTTGGTTGGATTGCAAAAATACAAATGATGTCATTCGTATAATTTACTTTTCATTTGAATCGTGTTCAGAGTACTTACAAATCTCGCTCAGAAGTCGATTTCTGATCTTCACGCTTCGTCACTTGTTTTCTTTGTTAGATCTTTAACAGAAAACATGTGATGATTTTTTCTAGTTCAGACCTTTCCTACTCGCCTATTCCAACAATAGCCAAATACATAAGCAAAAATCCTGAAACAGAAGATGAAAGACTTTGGAACTAGAGAAAAAAGGTCGCATATGACTTGACCGGGTTCAGAACTAAAATCCTAAAGTGGTGAATCTGATGAGAGTTATTGTCAGTTGTATCTTTAATTTTCTTTTTTCTTTGTTAGACCAAGAGTCAATGTACGTTTTCTATTTTTCCTCCAATATTTTTAATACTATTGCACTCTTTTGAGTTAAAGGTCTCACAATTTTCCAGGAACTTGCATTACAAAAAAAGCATTGCAATTGTGAAGCACTTTTTCTGCATTGAGCCATCGCGTGTGTTTTTTATAATTTTGCTCAGAGTAAGGGAAAAGCTCTTGAAAGAGGCTTTCTAAGTATTATTGCTCTACTCATTCATGCACATCATCTATTCTAATGTACGTAATACATCCTCTGTATTTTCCAATTTCTTTTAGCTGATGGAACATGCATTTGATTGATTACAGTTAAACCCATAGGTTTATTGCCTTAATCTGAATTAAAAACCTGTCAGGTTTGAATTACTGTAGGCACTTGAGTGTTTAGAATGTTAATGTCTTAGTACCTTCCGTGGCTTTTCAAGTCCATAGGCTTGCGCCTCAGCTTTATTTTAATGATTTTTAAGCCAGGTAAAAGAAATTAAAAATAGAAAACAAGAGGTAATTACTGAAAGAAATGACCAAGAAAGAAACTGAATGCATCAACATTTATGATCCTCCATTTATTTATCGTCTCTTGTTTCAGATGAAAGAAGAAGAGTGATGAGTCAGCCAGAATTCCTGTCTATCAATTTACTCTATTATGTTGGTAGGATCAAACACAAAACTACTACTCTGACATCATTCCGACTTACAGCGTGTTTGAAGAAGTTACCACATTAATCTACATTTTCTCCCAACAATGAAACAAGGTGAAATTTTTAGTATTAAGATTGCTTTTTCCTAAAACAGCTCATATTGTCATGGAATCTTTCAGGAAATGCCATTGTGAATATTGAAAAATTTAAGCTGAGCAATCAAAAATGTCATTAGAAAATGTAAAATAAACATCTAAAGAATCAAATAGAATATAAATTGAGAAAAATAGGTGCAATGAATCAAGAAACTACTACCACACAACTTGCTTCCTTCAATTTCAAATTAAGTTGAAATCGGAAACGGGAATAAAGGAAGAAGAGTCAGAATAACAATCAAAAGGTGTATTGAGCAAAATACACATAAAATATCTAAAAAATTTCAAAAGGGCAGAAGCACTTTCCTCAAGGAATCCGCAGCAGAGTGTAGGGTTCCGGGAGTTTTGCACTACGGAGATAGAGGAATGATATACAAGTCGAAATATTGGTGATGAAGGAAATATAATGTCCGAATCGTCCCGGAAAAATAACATACAGTGTTGATAATCATTAGAGCAAGAGATATGAATCGAAAGAATACAAATTAATTAGCTTATAGAATTGTAGTTGTCTTAGAGGACTTGGAAGGAAATATTTGTCGGTCTAAAATTTATCCCAAAAAAAAGGAATTGTGAGAGTCGCTAAGGACTGGAGGAGCTCATCTGTCCGCTTGACTTGAAATTGGAAATCAAAGTGCGGGAGCCTTCCAGAGCCCAAACCTCGGTCCCTGGCCAACCCTTTTGGGGGCCGCGCTCAGCGTACCCCACGCTATCCCTGATCGGCTGGTCCAGGAACTGACGCTAAGCTCCGGTTGGTCCTGCAAGTTTTAGGCTTACTGGCCTTTACTTTCCCGTTACGCGGATTCCATCCTTGCAGCGGGCTCCACAAAGGCCCGTGCGATAAATACAGTGAGTAAGAAAGTAGTATTTTGGACTAAAGAAGTAGCACGTGTTCTCAGTTTGGCTTATATTAAGGAAGCTGACGTGTATAATGCCTCATGAAATATTTAGCTCTTCTCGTCCTGTTTTGTAATGAATTCCAGATGGTCTGGAAGTTGGGTTCAAACAATCGAACTATACCCCTACACCCTTTGATTGTTAACACTTCAAAGTTTCTTACAAATTTTTCAAACGTTTCCGAATTGTTTCAATAAAACTCGGTTTGCCTGTATACGGTACCATGTTTTACAAAAAGCCTATGATTTGCGATTTTTTCCTCGCATGTGAAGAGCGTCGGAAGTAATTTCGCTGTATTTCGTATTTTTTCGTTCTTATGACACAGCAAAGATACTTCTAAGAATTGGTCCATGATAAATAGGAATAACTGAAAGTCATTGACAGACAAATTTTTTTCAATTGCCTCCAATCCTCGACGAAGGTTTGACAGACACATTTTTTGACAGTCATGATCGCCCTCTTGAGGAGGACTTGAAAGCATTATCTTTTGTCCGTCTCTGTAGTAAACATAATGGTTGTTTGAAAAGTATAAATTTTTTTTCTATGATTTTGTATAGACAGAATTTGATTTCAATGGTGAGGTCATATGTCGAATCTTGGCGAATGAGATGGGGCAGTTGTTCAGGGTTTTTCCAAACGAAAATAGCCAATCGCTTGAAAGAATTCATGTCTGACTGTAACAAAATGATTTTATTCGCTGGATTAATGTTTTTTTTTTTTTTTTTTTTTTTTTTTACTACTTCAAATACCACACGTGGTAATCCTTGCGCTTCCAGTTAGAGCCCCTCCCCCCTCCGTCCCTACCGTGTACCAGCCCCAGGCAACCGTTGTTTGAGACCATCAAACTCGGGTCGCCTGGCCGGGAATCGAACCCGGGACCTCCTGATTGTAGAGGCAGCGCTACAACCAATACACCACAGGAGGCCGGCACATAACTCGTTGTTGTTGTTTAAATAGAAATTGCCCCGCATTTGGGACACAAGTGTACGGCAACCTTGCACATAATTAGGCGCTGAACTCACCTCCTCGATGTCTATAATCAATCGGTCACTACAGTTATTAGTAGTGATCGAGTGGTCTCCTTGGTGGACGTGTCCTCGTCCTCCTGTCCGGTGGGGTTTGGGGGGGGGCGTGGTACGATGACCGATTGGAGGCACCGACATGGCCCGTGTTATCATCGGGCGGCGTTGTGGTGGGGCGAGCCGCGCCCCGCCCTCCGTGTCCTGCGGCATTTGGAGCTGGCGGCGTGGTGTGGTTTGCCCCCATAGTGTTCACTTCTGGAGTAGCAGTGCTATTACCGTCCAAACCAATAGTTGCAGGGCTAGGCTCAGCACTGACTGGGACCGGCCCGCCGGCAGCTTGGATTCCACTAGGGCCGGGCTGCTCCAGAGGGTTAGTTTGGACTGGGGATGTAGGGGCAGGGATTGGGGGGGGGGGGTCCTCCACCTGCGGTTTTGTAGCAGGTGCTTTCGTGCCCTTTGTTGTTGTTGGGGCAGTAGTCGTGCTGCGACTGGTAGTGGTTGGGGGCCGAGTGGTAGTCTTGGACGTTATGCCAGAATTGGTGGTGGGTCGTTTGGTTGTCGTCTGACCACGGTCTGACTTGGTTTTTGACTGCCCCTTCCCAGTTGCTGGTGTTCTGTTGGGAATTGGGCCCATATCCGCTAGCTGCGGCAGCTGTGGTACTTCCTCATCTGAGGGCACACGCCTCAATTGGCGCACGTGGGTCTGAGACTCCTGATCCGTGCTCTCTCCATCACTGCTCTTCTTGAGCATAGCACGCCTCTGACGGAAGCTTAGTCGTGCTAATGGCGTGGGCTCGAGTGTTTCGAGCTGCACGCGGATGAGTCGTCTGGCCGGGTGGGGTGAAGCATTAGACGACGGGGCAGACTCATCTATTGTCAGGTCAATCTGCTCGAAGCTATCGGTTGCAGCTGACTCGTACTACTCACCGTCGTCCGATTGCCCCCCTGTTGATTGGTGAGGCGCGTGGGCTTCCTTCGGTATTGTGCCGTCTGGATTACGGCCTGAGACGAGATTTTCTTCCTCATCTCGGATGCTCCCAATGGTGCGGGAGTCTACATAGTCAGAGACAGCCTGGGTAATGGCTGTCTCGAGCTCCGGCAGCGCGGCAGTGGCAGTCCCGTCGGTGATCACGTCTAACGCGGCGACAGTTGGGATTGGCACGACTTGGCCGATGGCTTGGCCCTCGACGCTGCGGGCACTGCGGGTGCCAGACCGCGAAGCGGACCGGCTAGCTCCCCTAGATCCAGAGCTACCTCTCGACACAGAGCGGCCCCTAGATCGGGTATTATAGCCGATCACTGGCATGTCCCCCTCGGGTTGGACGACGGGGGAAGGGGGGAACGCTTCCTCCGCGCCGGTGCTAACCACACCAGCACCACACCACGGTCTGACTTGGTTTTTGACTGCCCCGTCCCAGTTGCTGGTGTTCTGTTGGGAATTGGGCCCATATCCGCTAGCTGCGGCAGCTGTGGTACTTCCTCATCTGAGGGCACACGCCTCAATAGACCACTAGACAAGGTACGAATTTAAGCAATCTGATACATGTTTCTTAATCAGAATTTCGCGTAGAACACGATTCACACAACGGGAATTACTGAAACCAACTCCTAACAAAGATATTAACGTTTTTATTTCACATTGGCTACAAGGAATTCGAACTGCCCGCTCACAAGAAACTCAAAGCTCTACGCGAGTCAAATCGCGCACTACAACGGTTTCTGCAAGCCTCTCAATCGAGCAATGTTCATTTTCCACCATGTGTTGTTCAAACTATAAGCAATTTGTTACAGCTGAGCCAAAGCGTCAAGACTGAGGTTGCCAGATTTTTACATCGCAGAGACTGTCATGATAACGTTTAGCGCGCGATGTGAATCACGTAGAGCATTGAGTTTTAATGAGCGGGTGGTTTGAATTCACGCATCAAAAATCATCAAATATCTTCGTAAGGAGTTAATGTCGGTAATTTTCAACGTGCGCATCGTGTTCTACGTGAAATTTTAGTCACGAAACAAGTATCAGAATGCTGAAATTCGTACCTTGTCTAGTGGTCCATTGGCGCACGTGGGTCTGAGACTCCTGATCCGTGCTCTCCCCATCACTGCTCTTCTTGAGCATAGCACGCCTCTGACGGAAGCTTAGTCGTGCTAATGGCGTGGGCTCTAGGGTGTCCCTTATTCTTTAAATTTGCGAATTTCAAGTTGGTCAACCTCTCAAAAGTTTCTATGTGATGTAAAAACACACCCGCTTTTTTGAAAAAAAATTTTTACCCGCTGCCCAAGGGGCGAAAAGGGCGCATGTTGAAAATGGGTCATTTCACATTTTTGAAGAGTCACTTCCGACTGAAAATGTCGAATTATGATCCGTAGGGCCGAAATTTCATCCATTTTGCCTGAAAATCAACCGTTTAGTAGATACAGGAGCAAACACCATGCGGGCGCGCGAGTCGCGTGAGCGGGGGCGCGCAACCCCTCGTTGACCCCGCAACGCCGCTGGCGCGCGGCCTCCGCTGCAGCTATAAGGGTCAGTTAACGACGCATGCGCTAATAGATTGCACAAAAATAATAAGCTCAAAACACTCTAGCCTTCAGCAGTTTGATAATCCAAGCTGCAAAAATTAAATAGAGATGATTATGACACTTATTACATAAGAATAACACAAGGAAACATAAGGAAACCTGATAACATAAACATACACTGAAAAAAAAAAAACTGCTAAAATCAACACATGAAATAGTGAAAAAAGGTGACAACTCATCAAAATAGATTAAGAACACCGGGTTGATTTAACTAATTTGGTGATTTGTCACCGTATTTTAGCAATTTTTTTTTTCAGTGTAAGGAACATATTGAAAAATTTCCAATCACATATCATGATTAAGGTGATTCGTCAAGCTCAAGTGACGTGGTCGAACTGGCATGCGATAAATCGCATCTTTTAGGTCAAAAATCTCGGCAGATTTTGAATTTTCAGCAAAAAAAAGGACGAAAGTGTCACGTCAAGAGAATCAAAAAAACAAGATAAAGATAGATGCGTACGACTGATCACAGCAACGAGTAAGTGAAGCTTGCTCGAAGCTGGGTTCTGAAAATTCATACAGAGAGACCGAAAATATCGGAGAAAGGGAATAGAGAATCTCTATGAAAAAATGCGTTGCGGTATACGCGACATCCCCCTCGCCGATGAGAAATCGCTTCTGCGATTTCAACATGGAAGGTGAATGCAGGGAAAAAGAAAGTACAAAAAAATAAAATAAAGAAAGGTAAGAAAGGTAGGGACATAAAAAAAATTTGGGGCCTAGTGATCAGTCAGGTAGGATTGAATGATTCAACTGTACAGAAAATTATTTAAAATCATTGGAGAAAAGTCCGTAGTATCCAGGATTTGTCAAGAGAAGCTATGGCTCTGACGTCTACCAAGTTCCTTCTAAAACCGTAAGCTTCAACTATGATAAGTAACGCCAGTCTTAGTGAAAAATTGGCATGACCAAGATTCACCATGCGCATGACCAGGCAGTTTAGCATAAGCTGTGAAAAAGATTTAGGATTAAAAGCTCTTGCTTTAACAGTCGCTACGTCGTCCCACACGTTGCCAATAAACCCAGCGTTGCCGGTTGAATCACTCCAATGCAGCGCTTCGGGAGCATATGGCACGAGCTTAACTGGTACCCATCTGTATAGCAATCGCACGTCTGTGAATATCTTAAGCACCAGGGATGTGGAAACCCGGTGAATGTTTATCTGTTCTTTATACTTAGGTATATTACGTTCAAGGAGAACTGTATCTGTTACTAACACATAGTTTGGTATCCTATGGTTAACTAATATTGAAACACGCATTGAATTTAAGTTTTCTTGGTTACACGGAACCACGTTAATTTTAATCTGCTTTCCGTTTTGGAGAAGAAAAGGCGTTGTAGTAAGTGACAGTTGGTTGGGCATAGCAGGACTGATTTTAAAGACTTCAAACGTCTCGATCGCGTCCTCGCTAACTGGTATGAAAGTTACATCCGTATTGTTATTGTTAGGCGGATAAGTCGGAGAATGTAGCATCCCATCTAGAGAAACTAGATGCGATTTGAAACACTCGACCGGCATATTTCCATTTGCCTCATCATTTGGGAATAGGTTTCTCCTTTTCGTTTGACATGCTCGCTTCCCGAATCCTGAAATGCCTGTTGTGCCAGACATCTTGAATCAGGTGACCAAGTCTGAATCAACTCTAAAATCTCATACAGTAAAAATTACCTTAAGATTGAATTTTCAATGCGTCCCAAGATGCAGCTAAATAGTTGAGAGCCTCCTTTGTATCGGAGATTCTCATAATCCTGTGGCATATATCCGTAACACGGGGATCCGCTGGATTATTTGCCGCCTGTATAAATAAGTGAAGAAGTTTGTCAGACTGAGTGCTATCATGAAAAATGTTAAAGAATTTCTTCTCGGTTTTATTCACGCAAAACCACGAGCAAAGTATTGGCGGAATGGAGTAAGATAATTTCTCCTCTGCGTATACCCGCTTTATGGTAAGCATTACGTCTGCTGCTAATGAAAAAGAATCTTTTTTCGTCATTTCTTTCAGCCCTTCCCACCAGAAGGAAAGGGAACTTCTAGGATTTGTGTATGGAATGATCTTCAGATATTCATGTATCCCCTTCACGAGATGTGAAAAGATGAACACCTGAAGCGTCGGAAGTCTAAATGAATAATATTCCACTAAATTGTACCGATAACCGCTAGCTATATATACTATAAAATTGGCAATGACCAAGATTCACCATGCGCATGACCAGGCAGTTTAGCATAAGCTGTGAAAAAGATTTAGGATTAAAAGCTCTTGCTTTAACAGTCGCTACGTCGTCCCACACGTTGCCAATAAACCCAGCGTTGCCGGTTGAATCACTCCAACGCAGCGCTTCTGGAGCATATGGCATGAGCTTAACTGGTAGCCATCTGTATAGCAATCGCACGTCTGTGAATATCTTAAGCACCAGGGATGTGGAAACCCGGTGAATGTTTATCTGTTCTTTATCCTTAGGTATATTACGTTCAAGGAGAACTGTATCTGTTACTAACACATAGTTTGGTATCCTATGGTTAACTAATATTGAAACACGCATTGAATTTAAGTTTTCTTGGTTACACGGAACCACGTTAATTTTAATCTGCTTTCCGTTTTGGAGAAGAAAAGGCGTTGTAGTAAGTGACAGTTGGTTGGGCATAGCAGGACTGATTTTAAAGACTTCAAACGTCTCGATCGCGTCCTCGCTAACTGGTATGAAAGTTACATCCGTATTGTTATTGTTAGGCGGATAAGTCGGAGAATGTAGCATCCCATCTAGAGAAACTAGATGCGATTTGAAACACTCGACCGGCATATTTCCATTTGCCTCATCATTTGGGAATAGGTTTCTCCTTTTCGTTTGACATGCTCGCTTCCCGAATCCTGAAATGCCTGTTGTGCCAGACATCTTGAATCAGGTGACCAAGTCTGAATCAACTCTAAAATCTCATACAGTAAAAATTACCTTAAGATTGAATTTTCAATGCGTCCCAAGATGCAGCTAAATAGTTGAGAGCCTCCTTTGTATCGGAGATTCTCATAATCCTGTGGCATATATCCGTAACACGGGGATCCGCTGGATTATTTGCCGCCTGTATAAATAAGTGAAGAAGTTTGTCAGACTGAGTGCTATCATGAAAAATGTTAAAGAATTTCTTCTCGGTTTTATTCACGCAAAACCACGAGCAAA